AAACTGAATTTGAAACAGGGAGAAAGAAAAGATAAGCAAGAAAGCAAGAGCGCAGGCATTTGAGTGGCAAGATACAGTATTTTTCTGAAAAATCTCCTGTGTAGGTTAGGAAATGATTCCTGGCCTGTGCATGGCAGGTGAACCAAACTTGTATTGACTTCCACAGCTTCCACATGCTCATTGACAGTATTTTCAATAACAGCAGGCATTATATTTTCTTTTTCTCTCTCGTGCTATATTCCGTTGAACTATATAAATATTTTGATTTGCAGGTGAATCAGGAAATATGTTTCTCATCTTTCTTTCCAGCCTGTCAGCAGGGTAGTGACACAATGTTGTCTGCTGTTCTGAAACCTTGAGAATTTTTTTGACTCTATTTAACTCAGTAAAATATAAACTTCAGAAAAGTTAATCTCTGGGCTTGGTAGTATGCTTTTTCATCTTGGCACATTGAGATCCAAAATATACTCTTTCCTCCATCCCTAGAGAATGTTAAGTGGCACCATTAAAAATCATTCTGAAATGAAACAGCTTTTAGAAGGCAGGATAAGAGCATCTGCACCATTAGCATAAGCAGTCTGTTATGAAAAGGCAGTACAATTGACTATTAAAGTGACCTGCTCAAATTCGTATCAGTCTTTCTTCCTTTCTTCCTTTCTTCCTCTTTCTTTCTTTCTTTCTTTCTTTCTTTCTTTCTTTCTTTCTTTCTTTCTTTCTGAGCAAAGATTATTTTGTCTTTCTTTCTTTCTTTCTTTCTTTCTTTCTTTCTTTCTTTCTTTCTTTCTTTCTTTCTTTCTTTCTTTCTTTCTTTCTTTCTTTCTTTCTTTCTTTCTTTCTTTTTCTCACAGATATTTACTGAGCAAAGATTATTTTGGATGAGTGGTGTTGGCTGGATGCTGCTTCTCTTGTAAGGAATAAAGCATACATTGCAAAATCTGGAGGATATAAACATACCGTACATATTATCCAACACCCTTAAATCCACTCATGGTGTCAGCTGCCAACCACTGGACAAACTATACTTTTTTAAGTATAGTTTTTTTATATTTTTAAAAGGTGATTTTATAAATATTCCTGAACAGGCCATGCACTGGATGATAAGAGAGTGTTAAATATTTAAAATTTAAAAATAAAAGGTAGATTTTTAGGTTTTTTCCTTTTATAGAGAGAAAGCTTTCAGCAGTCTATAGATTTGGAGGACAAGAGAGATAGAAGTGTTGAGCTCCTAAAGATGAAGATGTCTGTCATATTATAACTCAGTATCCATGAACTAGTGCTTGCAAAAATTGCACGTGGTTGAGCGTGCTGATGCTATGAAATGAATATCAGCTATCAGACATAGCTCCATTCCGTATTCACATCATGGTGGCCATCAGCAATCTCCTTCACTAGTGTTTTACAATAATTCTCTTTTACAAATATTTACTGTTCATTTTCATCCCTAATGATCATCCCTGAGCAGAGTGAAATCAAAAGGAGAAACTGTAATGCCCTCAGCCCTAATCTGGCAAATGCTTAGCTTACTGTTTTATGAAGCAGTAAAGTATTTCTGACCTTTAATCTTTCATTTCAATAGTGAAAAATTGAATAGATGCCACTATTTAATGTAATGAAAAATAATCACAGTGCTCTTGAAAGCTAATGTAGCAGAAGATTCTTCTTAGAGAACCTCTGTAGTAAACTACACTCCACTAATCTTATCTGCCATTCTCAACAGGCAGGGGCCTGGGGTTTGTGCTCTAGCAATTCTGTTTTACTGGTCAACACAGAGTTTTAATTAAACATAGCTTATAGGCCAAATCTTAAATGGAATAATAAAATCAGAGCATAACCTTATATGGAGTGTATGTATTATGGTACACAAAGGTAATCTTGTTTATCTTTCTTCTGAACCCGTGGCTATCTTATGATGTTAAATAATCAGTCGTTCAATCCATGCATTTAAAAGTGGATTCTCCTTAGTATATCCAATATGTTACATTTTTACAGACTTTTACACTACTTTTTCTTCTTCCTTATAGTAGTTGTGCCAGTTGATAAGTACAATTAAGTTAAGTATTACTTTAGGAAAAAATACATCAGTAAGTTAATAGTGAATCCTCAATTATTTCAGATTTTTATGAATATGTAAAATGAAATATGTCATCCGCATCTATATACTTGTAGTGTACACTCTTATGTAAAAATATCTACTTTCAAAGTTGGACAAAATATCTACTTTTTTATTTATTTATTTCATACTTGGAAAAAAAAATGCATCTACTGTTGCACTTTGGGTGAGGAACCTATGCACACCTGTGTGTGTATGTATATGGGGATGTGTTTGTGTGTATTTCTATGTCCTGGTGTTACTGGTACCTGTTTGAGTTTTCTCTAAGGAAATACAATTTAGCAACATTAAATTAATTAGCAGAAGAAAACTGTGCAAGGTTAAATGAAAATAAAATGTACTAACAGTACTTAAGCTAATACTTTATATTCATTTTGTGTCATAGTGTTTGGTAAGACCATAATTTTCATAGCAGATTTTTGCCTTGTTTATCATGCATGAGTTGGCAGTGAAACTTTCTGTAGGGGCAGTACAGGATTTGTGCATCAGGTGATTTCTTTTTGAATATTTATGGATTACATTGAACAGTCTTGTCCCAAGATCCACAGGATTTTTTGAGAGCCATTTTAGGCTCACCTCATTTTACTCAAGTTCTGAGAAGGTCTGGAAAGAGCATCAACAGGGCTTTCTAATGCTTAGAGTCTTGACATGCCAGTGATGTGCCCCTGCAACAAAGCAGGTCAGCAGCTTCCTAGACTGCACTTGGCAGAACATCACCAGCAGATCAAGTAAATTATCCTGCCCTTCTGCTCAGCACAGGTGAGAAACAGCTGGAGTGCTGGATCCAGAACTCCCAGTACAGGAGAGACATGGATGTAGAGAGTCCAGAGAATGGCCACTGAGACAATTAAGGGACTGGAGCATCCCTCCTATGAGGAAAGGATTAGAGACTTGGGATGGTTTAGCCTGAAGAAGTGAAGGTTCAAGGGAGATTTTATCAATCTAAATAAATATATGTAGGGAGGTGCAAGGAGAACAGAACCAGGCTCTTTGCAGTGGTGTCTGGTGACAGGACAGGAGGCAAAAGGGCAGTTACCCAGAGTTACCCAGAAAGGCTGTGGGGTCTCCATCCTTAGAGATACTCAAGCACTGACTGAAGATGGTTCTGAGCAATCTGAACTGGCTGACCCTGCTTTGAGCAGAGGGGTTGGGCTAGACAGCCTCCAAAGTTCCCTTCCAACATCAGCCATTCTGTAATTTTGTGACCTGCTTGAATACCTTATGCTGCCTTTATTCCTATGAAGTGACAATAACAAAACTGCCCTGACAAAAGCAGTTCAGAGTGTGGACTTAAGAAGATTTCAAAGCTAACAATATTCTAAGAATACCAGTAAAAATTGAGCATCAACATTAAGCCTTCTGTTAAAAATTACCAAAAAGCTAATGTGCCATTTTCTCATCTGCCTGTCTGGCAGAGGGTTGTATCCTTCATTGCAGAATTGGAATAGACTGAGCAGGAACAACCCTTGGGGCCAAAGTGACATGAAAACCACAGTAGTCTAAACAGATTCACTCAAGAAAGGATCAGCTACTACAGATGCATTTAAAGCAGAAGTAACAAGCTGAGATTAGCATGGCCTTTTAACCTTTCACCTCCCTTTTGCCACTCAGGCTTTACTTTCCTATTTGCCCCTTTCAGCATGTCAATAATTGCCTATTCATATTGTCAGTGAAAAAAAAAGCTCTCATGTCATCTAGGAGTACTTCTTTATGACCAGTGTAATGACTATTCAATATGATCTACATCAGTTCTGTTCTGTCTAGTTCAGTATTTATTGTCTCCAAAAAGTTACTTTAAAATAATGCAACAGAGTTTAAAAAGAAAACAAAAATCTGAGATAAGGAATTCCAAAGTCAAATTTTCTTATAGAATCTCATTACCACTCCCCATACATTGTGTCATAGTATTTAACTGCATAGAAATCAATCAATACCTGTGCATGATGGGAATGCCCATTGCTTTGTGATTCTCTTCCATCCAAGTCACCACATCTGGCACTGAGGTATTTACCCTGTTCATGTCAGCTGAGATACTTGCTGCCTCTGTCTGGTGCCTTTTAAACACAAGGTGAAATTCTGTTGGCAGTTTAATAATTTTTTAAGCATTCAGTGTGAATGAAAATCAAATAAGTATGGATGTACATGAATATATATGTGGCAGTTTGGTTATAAATGAATGCAGATTGATTTTTCAAGATTATTAAATTAATATTTATAACATTTTGATTATTAAGACCAGAATGTTTTAGGGACATCTGTTTCTGCAAAAATGTAGTTAGCTTTATGATCAGATGATGCTACAATATCTTATTTTGATTTTTACTTTCACATACTGTTCTGTGCTCCTGTGTTCCTGATATATAACTAAACTTTGGAACAGGATGTCTTTGGAGAATGTGGAATTGCCATCACAGTGAGACGAATAATGAAAACATTTCAGTATACTTACTGTATTTATCTGGCAGGAGACAAACTCTTTTTGTTCCTCCTAGACCAACTTTTCCAGGATTCCTAAGAAAACAGCTCAAAAAGCAAAATATGTTTTTTGTGTATACAAATTTGTGAAAATAGAATGTGCTCACTTCCTCTGGCAGTGATGTCACACAAGATGTGTTACAGCTGTTGGCTGGTACAACTGTTGGAACAATAAAAAGTTCAACCAAAATGTGTTGCTCTAGAAACTGAAAGCTGGTTTTGCATGCAAATTTCCAAGTTTCTACTACTTGTGGCTGCCGTGGGGTATGTTCAAGATTTGGTATTTGCTTTAGTCACTGTATCTAATTTCAATGTTATTTCCCTCAACACCCAGCAAAGATCAGCAATTTTGTTATTAAAAATCTTTGCATTCTGTACTGCATTTACTGAGAGGGGTTAACTCTTTGTTTTTCAGAGCTTCCATATGGCTGGGAGAAAATTGATGATCCCATTTATGGCACTTATTATGTTGAGTAAGTTCACAAGTTCAATATTAAGTTGCTATTAATATGTCATAACCTAATACTGGTATCCTCTGCAATCCTCAGCCTGACAAGGAATGGGTACAATTACTTGGCATGTTAAACTAAGGGTATACCAGGAATTCTCAGTCATCAATGAAGTTAATGTATCCAGATTTATTGGAAGTGTCCCCAGTCAGTGACTCAGGCATTCGGTCACTCTCTTTATCCAGAGTCTGGTTTCATTTCATTCCAGCTGACACTTGTACAAAGAACATATCCATTAAAGAAATGTTGCATTTTCTATTTAAGCTTTGGATATCCAGCAAGGTATAAAACCCTCGTTAAGCAATGAATAGAGCAAAGCATAATCATTTTAGCACAGTTAAGATCTGTTTCTGGGTAGTCCTCGCTGCAAATCAAATGTTTATACTGGTTGTCCCAGAAGTCAAGTTATTTATACAGTACATATAAAATTTTTTGTGTTATTTTGTATTTAAAAGTGCAGCTGAAAACAATATAAATTCTATTTTCATAGGACAATCCTTGCTTTTTTTTTCTTCAGATTTTATTTTAGTCATGAAACAAGAAAAAAAAGCTTCTTCCTCTATGCAAAGGCCAACAAAATGCTTTTTGTTTGAAGGGTAGAACCTGGCCAGTTTGTACATAAGTAAATCTGAGACATGAGTTCCTCTGCTTTTTAACTTAACTTAGTGAACGAGACTTATGCAAAATGAATCTAGATTCAGATTATGATACCTGCTTGGGAGGGGTCAATTCACACTCTGCTCTCTACAGACAGTATGCAAGAGAGATAGAAAAACATTCCTGTCACTGTGCAGACAACACTTGAAAGGTTGGGAAACAGCTATCCATTAGTGCCTTTTATTAAACAAGGGAGATCTTTAAAGAATATGGCCCCTGACCTTAAATCTGTTTCAAATCCTGACACTCAAGAAGAATATTTATCTAGTTATTTCATAGAAAATAGAAAATTTCCTTTGTGTCTCACATTTTTCCCTTGGTCTCTTGAATCCATATGAACACGCTAACTGGAGGAATGCCCTGGACAGTTATTGGAGATGCAGCTTTTCCAGGCTCTAGGATATGCTGCTGTTATACAAGGATTCAAAGGTGCAGGGAGACCAAAAATTCATCTGATTTCTGGATGTGTAGAAGATATAAGATGACCCTTTCTTACCTGCTATAACAGCAGCAGCTTGTGGATGCCCTTGCATGTTTCCCAGCCTTCTACAAAGCAAACAAACAACTGAAAATGGTGTTTGATAGCTGCTCTGCTTACTCCTTCTGTCCTGGTTTCCAAATGCCAGAGCACCTGCTCTCCTTCTTTGTCCCCAGCTTGCTTCCTGCCCTCAGGTGAAAGAGGCAGCAGCTCCATCTACTTTGCTGCTCAGCTCAAGTCACCTTTGCCAGTCCAGAGTCAAGTAAATGATAAGTTTTGAAGTCCCTACGAAATACCATTAAATTACTCCCCCTTGCGATGCCTGAGTTCTTTTATGATGTCCCCAAGCAGGTAGGGGCTGCAGTTCTCATATTATTTTGTACTTCACCCCCGCCAAAGATTTCTGAACATGCAATCATGCAGCTGCTGGGTGTAAGCAAAGCTTCTGCTCCAGTGGTTTTTAGTGTATTTTGGGGTTTAACAGGTGTTGTGCAATTTCTGTGCATGAATCTCTTACTGAGACTCCGCTTGGTTGTTAGTGCAGCCCAAGGCATTCTGGCACCAGCAAGGCTCACACTCCACTAGAGTCAGAAAAGGAACAATTATTTTTCTGCATTTCATGTCCAGCCATAGGTAAACAGATGCAAGGCACCAGGCCCAGATGTTATCGTGCAATTACATATTTTAAGGCTGTTAGTGCCAAATTTATTAATCCTAACACAGATAAGATTTGTGGACCAATACATCAAACCTACTGCAGTCTCTGAGGTTTTTAGAAGTGGAATGGATGCTCATGGTATGGCATTAAAACTGCAGCCCTGCTAAATTCACATGGAGTTTTATAGTCAGTAAAATGTAGCTGTAGTTTAATTTGTTGTCTGAGCTCAGTAAGTTTGAAACAAAGATTGCTTTCCATTTTTCCTGCTACAATATATAACAGTCTCAGCTTTTTTATTACCAGTATTGAACAGATGTGTTCATTTTTAACTAGATGAAATCAGATTACAATAAACTCTCTTAATTTTGTCATAAAAGTAGGTAAATTATGAAAAGCAAGGTTACAAGCTTCGACACATTCTGGGCCAGTCCAAGTTGACATGCAGGCCTACAAAATCCTCATGAAAGAAGGACTCTGCTCACTGGTGTTGTCACATCCCATGGGAAGTTTGTAAGGTTGAGTAATGAGGCAGACAGGCTCTATTTCACCTTACAAGGAGCGGCCATGTTCAGCTCAAATATTCTGATACCAGAGAAGAAGCTAAAAAAGAAAACAAACCAAAACAAAGGAATTTAGACCTCTTGCTAGTCGAGTTCCTAAAGATGAATCACAACGTATTTGGAAATTCTGTTACAAAAGTCTCCAGTATAACCTCTCTTAACCATGCATTAATGCAGGTGTGAGATAATGTTATAATTTTCATTTGCTTTGTTATGAGGGTCCAGACTTCATTTGTGTAGACATTTGCCATAAATGAGAAGTGTTTGCTATATGTTTGTTAACTTGCATGCAATCTGGTCTTAAACTGTAAACTAAGAACTAACAGCACTGAGCTGTGCAGGACTATGGAGAGAAAGTAGTCATTTAGAGTGCACTGGGTCTTTCAGGATTCTAATTGCCAAAAGATTGTTTCCCTCTTTGAGGATGATTAACTACAACACAGAGCTCAATTTCCAGACATGGGCTCTTTAATAGAACAGCTAAATTAGCCGTACAGGTATTTATTCTGGAAAAATATACCTCCTTGACTAACAACTTCTGACAATGCTCTGTTACTACTCAAATAGAAAGAAATTATCTCAGGTCTCTTTTTCACTATAAAGTGTTATCAACTGAAAAATGTGAATAAAAAGAGTAGAAAGGCACTAACAAGTTATGCATTAGAATATCCATTTTATGGGCATCCTGATCCCCAGATATAGGTAATAGGCAACAATTTTGAAAGATATAGGCAAAAACTAGAAAAAGAACTCCACCCCACATATTGAAGTAGCTAAGAAAAGGAGATAGGTTAAAATCCTTGTACTGGTGCCCATGCTCTGACCTGCTACCATTTTGTCAGAGTTCAGTGCCTTGACCATCAACTATAGTCTTCAAATTAGGCACTACAGCCCACAAATCTCCTAAGGATGTGTTTCAGTTGTCTTAAGTGCATCTAACCTGAAACTCATCACAAAAACAACTTAGCCTGGCCCCACTGATTGCTGAGAGGGCAGAACTGTGTCTGTATCTTATAGGCTGGCTGGTGGTGATGGTACCTCTTCATCAGACAAAAGAAAATCCTACCTTTGAGGGTTTGTCCCCAGTTAAGATACAGTGAGCTAACAGGAGTCAGCAGCGCCAGCCTCCTTCTCCGCACAGCCACAGTGGCACTAGAAGAAATTAGTTGGATTAAGCTTTGGATTAGGATTTTTAATTTAATATATATTGTATAAAATAAAGGAAGAAAATTGAAATTAGAATTGTTCACTGAATTAGATCCTATGAGAAATTAGCAATACATTTTGGCTACCATTCAAAATCTGTTTTAACCACAAAAGCACTTACTTGTAACCATCTCTAAAACACATATTTGGTTTGTCTTACAAAGGCCTAGACTAGTAATATATATTTTGTATGCTGTGGAAGTAGCTAGATGAAAAGCTAGAATGTCCTTTTAAGAGAATTACTTAGCTTAACAACTTCTTTCTCAAGTAAACTCATCAAGAGCACTTTTTCTGATTTAGCCATGAAGCTGTACTTAAAATTGCACAAAAGAGTTTCATGTATCATCAGTATAGGAACATAATACAACATTACTGACTGATAAAAATGACTGATTATAAATATAATTTTTATTTGACTCCTCTTGGACACAATCTTTAATGCAATTCTTTTAATTTAGTTGGAAATTTCACATTGTGGTCTTGAGATTGCAGACTACTAAAAAAACCAGTCAAAATGTGGGAATAAATTGGAGTTTAGAGTTATTGAAGTTGTACCAGCAACATGAGGGGCTTCAAGAACCTGTGTGTTAATCTTGCTATCTAATCTGATAGGACAACATGCCATTTTCATTATAGCTGTTATCAAAGATATTTCTGTTTGAATGGACCAAACCACAACTTAAACTCTACCTAGGAACTGTAGGTAGGCAGTAGGAAATGGATTCTAGCTGTGATGTCATTTCCACAGTAATTAATCTTTTTTGAGCCATGAACACAGATTAGCTAAAATCCCAACTTCTTTTATATCACAGAACCACATATAAGTTGAATCTTAGGTCTGCAGAGGCCCTCCTGCAGCTCTGTGATGTGCCCTGCAATTGCAACATGACACTAAGCATAATGCAAGGTCCTGAATGAAGATCTGGAGTGAAATCTTGAATATCCATTACATCTGCATGATATGGCACAAAAGCCATGGGATATCTCTGCTCTTGTGGAGGGCAGCTGGCAGGATAATTTAGAGCCCCTAAAGTAAGAGACAATCGCTATGTTGGATCAATTAACCCACATGTAGCAACCCTAGTTTTAACCTTATCAAATGCTAACATAAAACAAGCTAGATATTGTACTCCATACCTCCTACTGGAAGCTGTTTTCAAACTTCACACTTCGATTGTGAGAAACCTACAGACTTCATGTCTGAAATCCTGGCATCTCTAATACATTCCAATATTTACTTCCAAATGTACTCATAGAATGCAATTATATATCAGAATTAATTCTTCTTGAATCCAAAGCTAAAACTACTTTGATCTTCTATAATAGAACACTCTATTTCACTGGTCTTCTTGTAAACCTTTCATATAGATTAATTTCATTTGATCATGGGTACTCAGAACTTTACTGAGTTTCATCACTGTCTTGTGTAAAGGCAAAAGCAGTATTTCCTTTACAACATGGAAATACATCACATGATAAACACATTGCATAATTACTTTTTTCATTCTTATGTTAGTTCATGATTACTTTTTTAAATGCATATCTTGCTTTCCCCATTTTTAACTAGTGAATTTTTTCTCCCTTTCATAATAAGTTTCTAGAATAAGGTGCTGACAATTACTGAAATTACAGAAAGTAAAAGTCTAAGAAAGGAACACTTAGAATCTTAAACAACCTGTCTGAAGAAAGAAATAAATGAGAGGGACTTTCTCTGTCTACAGCATAGACCAAAATTTACTGAAAGCTATTAATCAAAATTTTAGAGTATGAGAGTAAGATAGCAGCCACTTAAATGAGTTATAGCCATGTGAACAAAGAAACAACTTAAAGATTTATCACATTTACTTCATCTCATTAAATCAAATATTCTTTTACATGACTGAAAGTCTTTTCACTTCATTAATACTGGCCACTAAATCCTATTTTGCTAGTGTATTGCACTCCCATAGGACTCGCTGCCTTTCCTCTATCTCACTTCCTAATGGCAATTCCACTTATTTTCTTTGAAGTGGTGTTAGGATCAAAATCTCAAAGGACCTGAAAAGTGCTTAATGTGGCACAAAAGGTCACTGCGATGTAAAAAAAGACCCTTTTAGGATCTTAGAGTTGTGAAAGTTACCAGGTAACCTGTCCAAGTGCTTAAACTCATGATTGGGATTGGATTTTCAGAAGACCTCAGTAGATGGTAACCCAGTGAGAACAAATAAGGAGTGACATAAGCCTGCCCTTCTGTATATATATCTTCCCCTGGAACAGTGTTTGAAACACAAGCCCCTTCTCTTCGTTGTATTCTCTTGCGATCCTATCTTGCACCTATGTTCCATGCAGCCTACTAAATTGTTTTGCCTCCTTTAGATGCAAAATATATCCCAGGACAGGACTGAAGGATAGCTCAGTGATTGATAAAATGTGTTCTTTAAAGAATTAAAATTAAGGAAATGGTGACAGTATATAGTAAAGATCATATCCTAAACAAAATGCAGAAAACTAATGATGTAATGCCAGAGATGGATTTAATGACCTGTGGTAGGGAATGTAAATCATCAAGAAAAAATGTGTGTACTAACTTTTCTGATATTTCTGTATGACCTATGTAATGCTAATCTGCCATCTAATTTAGTTTCTTCATCTGATTTTTTTGTACAGCTGAGCAGATACACACCATAGTACTAAAAAGGAATAATAGGTAATTTATTACCTGTGTTAGATTTATTTGTAAATTACCATCATAAAAGAGCTCTGTTGTCTAGGCTTTTCTTTTTCTGTGACTGAGTAAATTCACTTACACAACTAATTGATAATAATGCACAAAACTGGTTGAGATCCTTTGAATCGTACACAGAACAGTGGTCCTGCTGAAGACACAAAAAACTGTTGCTGTAGCATGTTTCAGCAGTGCTGCTGTTTTATATGTAGTCCCATAGATGAAAACCATTTGTCTGTAGCAGAGTTCAGCATATTGAAGCGATAGGATGCTGCTCAGAGCTGTTCATTACCCAGGGCACTGGTGGTATAATCTCATCCCCAACAAAATTGTGTGGAACGTAAGGGACACACTTCGGCCCATTGGGGGCTCCTCACAGTTTTTACTCTAACCACACACACCTTAGCCACATACAGCACCCTACTATGAAAATTATCATTTTACCCAACTGAACCCAGTTTTTAATCAAAACCAATTTTTTTCCAGCCACATAAATAGAAGAACTCAATTTGAAAACCCTGTCCTAGAAGCAAAAAGGAAGCTACAGCAGCATAACATGCCCAACGCAGAACTTGGAACAAAGCCTATGCAGGCCCAAGGTTTCCGAGGTATAGTACCACGTCAGCTGTCTTAGTTAAAATGAAAGATCCTGCTCTTCTGCTTTTGTGACAATGATTTTGTCATAGTGTAGTTAAAACAGTAGTGCTGCACAAAAGGTTATCGCCTATATCTTAACAATATTCTCCCTTAAATGTCCGAGTTCCAATTGTTGCAAGACTCACCAGCCAACTAAAACTTTCAGAGGCGCAAAGAAAAACCAGAAAAGTTGAATCTAGTGTTTCCTAAGGGCTGAGAAACTGAAAGCACAATAAGAATCCTAAAGTAATTTTCTAAATAAAATCATAAATTCTGTTCCTGGGAATATATGACTCTCTCTTGAGCACCCGAGGATGGCAATGCCGAAATACTTAATTGTACTTTCTCTAAATTACTCTTAATTGATGTTTGGTATGCTTCTAAGCTAGCTCATCTAGCAAGCATCAATTAAGTTAAAAGCCTCAAGCACAGTGTTATAGGAGTTTACAAGAATGCAGCCACTTGGTGACATAAAAATTAATGTGCTCAAAAGGAGCCGGATAAGCAGCAAACAGTATTGGTACAGAAAAATGAACTTTAATGTAAGGTTATAGTCAGAGAATGAGGCTTGTTCTCCTTTGTAACAGTAGAAAGCTCCTCATCAAGCTTACCTAGACCCAAATTTGCGCGCCTGCGCCCCGTTCCCAGGAGGTCCCACAGCGTGAATGACCTGTCGCAGTGCCGGCGCTTCCCCACTGGGGCACATGGGCTGTACGGTACGTCCCCGCTGCCCGCCAGCCCCGGGACCAGCTGGGGTCACAAACTCTGCACGTTCCCCAACCCACCCTCACCGAGTGTGCAGCATGGGAGAGAAGCACGGGGACCCCCCGGCACCCACACCGAGCACCAAGGCACAAGGGGACACAAAGTTTGCACAGCAGTCATGTGTGTCACTTGATGGATGCCTAAACCCCGTGTGTTTGGAGAGAAAAGCTCGTCTAATATTTACTTCTTCTTGGTAACAAGTGGAATGAGACATTCACAGGGGATATTTTCCTTGTTGTGTTAGGGAGGGAAATAATGAAGAGTGTATTACTTTGTAGACAAAGCTGAATTTATAGGTTAGGAAAGAGGTTTTTAAATTACATCACAGATCATTTTTATTGTTGTAATTATTTTAGCTACACAATATCCACTTCAAAATGGATTTCTAATATCAAAGGATATTTATATCTTTTCATTTATGGCTGATCTGCCATAGATAAGAAATATTTTTTAAGCTTTGTATTAGTACAACAACCCACAAATATTTTTCCCGGAATGCCTGCACTCTTTATTTTCTTGCCTTTGATACACTGCCACTTGGTGTCAGCCAATATTGTTATCTGCTGTCCCTGCTGTGTTGTGACTAGATCAGAACTTTTGTCTTTCTTGTTTGTGTTGACTGATGTAGAAAAACCACTCTTCACCCGTGATGCATCACAGCTGAAGGGGACTTTCCTCAGCACAACTCTTAAGAAAAGCAACATGGGTTTTGGATTTACCATCATTGGTGGGGACGAGCCAGATGAGTTTCTCCAGGTGAAGAGTGTAATTCCTGATGGGCCTGCAGCACAAGATGGGAAAATGGAAACAGGTAATCATGAAAGTCCCTCTATTCTTTTATATGGGAAATAGATTTCTGAGTCTCACTCCCTCCATGAGTTTTCCATATGACTTTCTGTGTTAATATGTAGAAAAGGTAAGTTTGTGGTAAAAATTTCATGCTAATAAATACCAGATAGCTTATTTTCCCCATTTCACAATATTTTAAAGAAGAAAATATCTCTACAATTCCCTACATAAAAATGGGATATGGTTTATAGGTTGTTTACTTAAGAGAAGTCTACATGGAAAGATAAGAGATAGAGAGCACAGACTACTAAGTGCAAATTTATATCTTTAGAATGGGTGGTTTTGCAAAATAATCAGCTGAGTCTGATCCAATAGTGTTCTCATTAAAACCATCATAACAAGAGTTTTCAGTGTGGCATATGGACACACAGACATTTGTGTCCTATTAAAAAAGGATCTGTGAAAACTCATGAAATGAAAGAAACTCCTTCTGAAGAGATTGAAAGCTGCTCTGAAGATCTGGACCACCACTGCAAACATTTTCATGTTCACAGGTTGATAAAGACTGCAAACCACTGTCTGAAAGGTCACATCAGGCCTATGTATGGATGAAACTCTTGTAGGAAGATTAATTCATTTTCCATGGAGTTGTCATCTTCTTTAGGAATAGACAGTCAGAGAATAATAGAATGATTTCAGTTGGCAGGGACCTTCAGTTACTAGTCCCCTGCTTAAAACAAGGCTAACTTTGTGATTGGATCAGGTTTCTCAGGGTGCTGAGAAAATTTCATAAGACACAGATTCCACAGCCTCTGTGGTCTCCTGTCCCAGACTTTCTCCAGTCTCATGGTGAAGACTTTTGCCCAGAATTTGTGGACACCTAATCCCCATAACTGTTGAAGGCCAGGTTGGAAAGGGTCCTGAGCAACCTGATCTAGTGGGTGGCAAGGGAAGTAGATGTTCTTGAAAGTCCCTTCCAACACAAACCATTCTATTATTCTATGATTTTTGTTCTTTAGGTCCAGTTGGGCTTTCCACAGGTACAGCTGGTTAGTAGGGACTGAAGTCCTGTGTTCTCGTGTTTGTGCAGCCCTGTCACTCTGTACCATCTCTCCCCAGCATAATTTATCGCATGTGCATAATTTATCCATTTCTTACCAAGACACTGAACTAAGGAAATGCTCGTTTGGGATTTTTGTTGCCTCTGTAGAAAAACCATTTCATGGTGGCTGGACCCACTATGAAGAAAATTTTCTAAACTTTGATAATAGATCATTGTGGATGGATCACAGCAGCAGAGAAAGATCCTTTTATTGTGTTATAGCTCAGGGAGCAGACACAGAAACCCATGCAGGCACAAATGATGGTGGAATAGTCTGAAGTGATTTTTCTGGAAATTTCATTTCACCCTTTTATTGTAGTCAGCTTTTTTTATCATAGTCATATTCATATGTCAGAATAAATCACCCTGGATTCTAGTTTATTTTGTAGGACTATCTAGGACTTGCCAAGTAGGAAGTGTAAAGGTTGTGAAAAGTATTCTTTAAAAAAAAACCCAAACAGTATTTGCTTCAAAGCTAATATTATAGTCAGCACAATGTTTCTAATGCAAAATAGACAAACAGAAAAATTATGCGAAGAAACAAAAGGTAAAAAATAAGTAGAATATAGATTTTTGGCACTGATTTTACAAAAAGACATTAGTCTAATATATTTTTAATTCTCAGTTCTTGTTGCTATTTTAACTTAATGCAGTTTAGTTCCCAAAGGCAAAATTTATTAAATTAGCTGATTAGGTGAACAAAGGATACAACAGACTTCCTGAAGTTCAGAAGATTTCAGTGACATAAGCTTCATTTCTCCCCTAATATTTTCCTACTATCTAATGCATGGCATGAGAGATCTTCTTTGTTTGTCATGGTTTAGCATTCTCAGATGCAGAACTCAAATATAGTTACTTGCTAATCCCTCAGAAATGTGGGCTGATTATTAGTGAACTTGGTCATATGGAGTTATTTTCTCTGAAAAACAGGGTATCCTTGCAATTTAATTGAATTTTTATGCTCAAATTGAATATGAGTTTCATAATACTGTTGATGGTCATCATTGTAGTTATGCACTGTGATTAGGGCATGTAAGAAAAATGTTCTTTAAAATGCATAGAAGTAGCATTGTTTTTTTCCTCAGGTAATTAATTCAACCACATTAAGAATGCAAAACAGAAATATACATTCAAATATATAATCACTCTACAATTATGTGACCCCAAAACTTAGAACAAATTTTGTCCTCAAATGCCTTCATTTTTAAGAAGAGTGATGGATTCTGATGAAAAGTAATTGGAGAATCTCAGGCTAATGATTGTGGCATCCAACATGCTTTCTATGACTAAAGTAATTTATAAATATGTTAATGGTAAACAGAAAAAAAAATATATAAGGTCAGAATTTTTATAAAAGTTTTGTTCAACAAAGTGCTTGTATTTCCTGATATCAAATCCTTTTCACATTTCCTGAATTAGAATTTTTCTCCCTATTGAGCTATTTTGCAGTATAGTCAACGGAAGATATGAAAGCCTCCCAGGTTCCATCAATAGCTTTTTGTTCATAAAACTGTTAAAATTTTACATTGGAAAACTACTTGAAATTGCATCTGTTTCTTTTTGTTTGTTAGATAGGCATCATTGGATAATAAATAGAACTTTTAAAATAGATTTTATTTATTCTTTTGATACAAACTGTGTTCAATTTATATGTACTCCAGATATGATCAAAGTCATGGGAAGCTTTGGTTAATGATTAAAGCATCATGTTGTGGCAATAGGGCATCATAGTAGAAAGTCTGAGGGCAGTGACCGTGATCTCTGAAGCAGCCTGAGTGTAAGGGAAAACCACAGCACTGGTTCCCGCAGCTCTAATATGATTCTGGTCCCTTTCCCTTGCAAAGCTGTTACTGTTTTTTGGCCAAGTGGTTATTGAAATCTTCATATTCAGACCTGCATCAGATTTGGGGGAAATACAAAGAAAAGGCACCATCTTGTTTATCTTACCTAAACTTTGGCCACAAGCTGAAGATATCAAAGCTGTACTTCAAGCAAATTGTTAAAGAAACAAGCTCATAGGAAACTACCATTGTAACTTTGGTTTATTTTCTCACCCTAAATCTAATATAGGGGTATCCTATACTAGATAAACCCTATATTAGGATATATCCTATATTAGACAAATGCAATGCAAAGAGTGAGTCTCTGTAAGACACTGTCGCACTTTAGTATGATCATAACAAAGCAGTTTGACCTAAAGATTTCAAAATGGGAAATTTTGTATTTCATCCTTTGGAACATAGAGCTATAGAATGGTTTGAGTTGTAAAGGCCTTCGAGATCATCCAGTCCCACTTCCCATACCAGAAACAGGTGAACCTTCCACTAAACCAGCATGTGACCATGCAGCTTGATGTCATTGGCAAGCTTGTTGAGGGCACACTCAATTCCTGTGTCCAAATCCAACAAAGATGTCAAAAGGTGCCTGTCCCAGTTCTGACCCCTGAGGAGCACTGCTGAAAGCCTGGAAGCCACTGGGAACACAGAAGCAGCTGCCTGACAGTGACTTGGCATTGCTGTGAAATAATGCAATGAGGCAAACCAAGTGCACTGAGATGCAACAAGAGATATCTGAGGTCCCGACAAGCTATCAGAACCACTTGGTGCCCAGTGCTGGGCACTAAGAGGTATTTATATTTGTCCTACACCCACAATAAACCTCACAAGCAGACTCAGAGGAACCACATCTCAGTGGAAGAATCAAAAACAACCAAAATTAAATTCCTTATCCGATTTGCCAGATGTTTCAGAATTTGTAGGGGCTATTATGCCCCCATGTAAATCTAGCATCTGTGCACTAATGGTTGTTAATAATCCTGAAAATGCCTTTCTAGGATGTGTTTTAGCATTTGGAGCTCAATCAAACTGCTGGATATGAACATTACACTCCACAGCATCTCTGTCTGTCTCAGGACAACCTAGAAACTGATACCACATTCTTTTCTGGAAGGTTACATTGTCTTGTCTGAAGCCTCGTGCAGCCAACAGAAAACTCTCTGTATTTAAGATGCCCCTGCATTCAATTAAAATGCTGAGTGAACATCACTGGTAAAAGACTGCATCTACATGAAAAGATTTTTATACAGTGAGTGATTTTGACTGACTGCTGTTTTAAGGCAAACAAAGATTTAGACCTGCGGCTGAGTCAGATAAAAGCTCAAGCTGCAAAGGCAAAAACTCTCCTACAAATCTCAAGGTTATTCAATGGACTGGATAAACTGAAATACTCCCACATAATCAAGCTCAGGGAAAGAGTCTCACTCTGCATTTCAGCAAGCTCCATTTCCTCTGGTGAAAGTTTTCAGGAAACAGCTCAAAGACATGGTGCAAAAGTGGTTCTTGGAGTCTGGCGATGACCCTTCTGACTGATGAATATCTTTGGTCACTACAGGTTGAACTTTGCAGAAACATAAATCTGTGGGGAAATGTCATAGCTCAACAGTGTGAATAAAGAAAGGGGAAATATGTTCTTTCATTTCATCTGCCAAGCATGCACTTGGCCAGCTTTAAGATGCTAAATCATCTGTAAACAATGCAAACGTGGGCTTTTTTAGATGTTGCTCTCTCAGGAATGGTAGTTTTTCTATATTAGTTGATCTATTCCAGAGATAGAAATTCATAAATTAAAGTTCAGCTAACAGATATACTTGTCTACAATACAGATGTCTACACATACCATATAAGCATACATCTATAATTTTGTATGACTGTAATAGGGTGAAGCCTAGAGAAGAAAGCTAGAGATTGGTCCCCACTCAGAATTTCTACTGCACCTTAGAGATCTCCAAAGGGAATGAGCTGTTAGAAATGCTGGGAGTGACCCATGGCCTTGCCTCTGTCCATGGACATACCATCGAGACCCATAACAATCTTCTGCATATAATGATTTTTTTCAAGAAACTGAGGTTACTTTAAATGTAA